GTGGTAGAACATGTATAATTGCTTAATATCCCCAGATGCATAGTGTTGTGCTTCCATGTCTATCAATAGCAATTCCATCCATATACAATATAATTGGCACTAGCATCTCATTGTTGTTGTTTGCAACACACTTATCCTTCCATGTTTGCAGCCATCATTGTTGCCTGTGATGGAGTTTGCAAATAAGAGTGTCTTGCTGTGTAAGTTCAGGGTAACGGCAGGGAGACACAGGGGTTCTTTGGCTTGGGAAGGAAAGATTATCTTCCTTGATCAAGGACACATTAGTAAGAAGGGAATGTAGCGTGCATCGGAATATCCTTACATATATTTGTTTGTGACCAACACTGTTGCTTGACCGCCAGTATAAGGTGTGGTTCAAAATGATCACCACGTAGTTCAGGAGCTACTTTGTAGCATTCCTCCAAAACCTTCTGTCGGGCTTGTATTAAACAGTTTCTGGCACTCCAAGTAAATCCAGATAAATACTTGGATTCAATTGTCCACTTGTAAAGTTCCCTTTCAGCGACTAAAGGTATATTGTGGTCTCTCATGATCTTCATTAGTTTTATTTTCACTTTGGTTGGAGCAGAAACATACCTTGCCGTAGAGGGAGTAATTATTGTGTTCAGGTCAGTAGTATCTTGATTGTTGGGTTCAACATAGTTAAATGTTGAAGCATCATTGTCAACATCAGAATTGACAGCATTCATTGCTGTATCAGTCAGGCTTTGATCGACAACTTCAACAGATGGGTTGTACATCACTTGATTGCGGGACTGTGATTAGTGTTGGTTAAACGAAATTTTCGGCTAACATCCTCCTTGTCCTCCGTGATTTTTGTAAAGAGAAGGGCTAAAATCATYGACACCGTCCCCATATAGAGAATAATAGTCAAAACATATACCACTCTCGGAGCGATGGGCCAATAATTTGGCAGATGTAATGGCACCTGTTTTTCTGTTGTGTTTGGCACTGTAGAATATGGGGCGCTGGGTCCTGCTATCACAGGGCCCATGGCAGTTCTGGCAAAACACCTTGAGCTTGGGAGTACCCATGTTAACAACCATCGGATGGGTGAGAGGATGTCAGGTCCAATGCTACTAATTTTTGGGCACAGACCATGAAGTTTGATGGATCTGGCGGGGTTAGATGAGAGCCGAATTGAGAAAACATGTTCCCAAAAAACGGAATAAAAATAGATGTTCGATAAATTAATTCTTAATTCATAATCTAACGGTAGGACCAGAAAATTTAAGGGTATGGACCGCGCAAAATGCACAATACCCCCACCACGGATCCCGTTTGTGTGACGTACTAGTACTAGTAGCTACTAGTGTAGTAAGGAAGACACAAATTTTTCATATTCTAGCACTATTGATCCAAAAATTCATGTTTTTCTTTGTACCAAGAAGTGGTGCACGGGCCTCTTGCTTTTAGTAATTTTGTTGCAGTTAAGATTCCAAATTCTGAAAAAGACTGCAATGAAGGCGGGTTTCCTCTCAGTCTGTCCGTTGAAATTTTGATTCCACCTTAATCTAAAAACCTTATCCCTATTTAGCGCTTTAGAGTATTTAGAAGAACGGGAATCACCCATTGTCGGAACGAAGTCTCGGCGATGGCACCCTGWGCGCAAACGGAAGAGTGGCATTGGAAAGAAAAGGAAGGGGAGGAGGAATCGAGGAGTTGGCATAAATMCATTTCATACTAGTTTCGCGACCATTGTCACMCTATCTCGGAAGTTCATTCGTATATCTGAAGCGCACATTGTCCTGAGTTCATCGGTCAAAGCTAACAAAAGAGCAGCAATAGGAACAAAATGCCCTGCATTATCGAGCCAACTTCGCTKCGTCTCACTGATACCGAAAACGACAATGACTGCAATACAAGGGACAACGATAAAAAAATGAATGATAGTRCSAAGCTATATCTTGCCCCGATGAGACACGGAGATCTGCTATTGCCACCGCTATCCTCTCCGCTGTCGACACATCCTGGAAACCAAAGCAGCAGCAACCGAACGACTAGGAAAAACGTTCACGAAATACCACGGGGTTGGATTTCTCTCCATCACAGCAGTCATCGCCGTTGCAGTCATAGGGGCAAGCTCGATGGAAAAARCTTCATTCCTAGCCAKAAATCAGCAGCAATTTTTCTGGGACGATCGGATTTCCTTTCGTCGATGTTCTCGGCTTGTGGATGTAGCAAGAATTGGAGATCCAGCCGGAACAAATGCAAGGAATGTAGATCCGTTCTAAGTTGGGCTGGAAATTTGTCGCGACGAACGCTGAAAATAAACAGTAGCAGTAATGRAGCGAATCAACCAGCGCAAATCCAGCTTTCGTTTCGTGGGTGTTTGGCCGCAATAGTCATCATAAAAAAGGACTGCAGAGGGGAAATAGAGGATACAGAATACCATCGTCGATGCAAATGCCACAGATGCAACGACTATTGGGATACCGGTGACACMGATGTCTCTGTAGCCCCAATGATAGCTTCTGCACTTGAAGAAATTGAAACAGACGACACAGGGATGCGTGATCCCAGAAAATGGAGCAAACCTAAAAGGATTGGAATAGGAACAAGAATCTCTTTGCGGTACGGAGAAGAGAACTTAGACTTCATGGTAGTATCACAAGAAGACCTTCAAAATTCAGTGAATACACACGACCACTGTTATGAAAAGCGCAGAGATAGGATTGGTACCTGCRGTGGTAGCATCCCTAACAATTTWAAGAGGGCACCGAGTTATTCTTCTGGTTCGAGTATCACCAAGGTGCTCAAGGACCTARCCGATGGCCACAACCAATCTAATAGAAAAAWTACCCGGCCATTGCAACAAGAGCAGCAAAAAAACAGACACATATTAAACGATTCTAACCAACAACTGCAACCATCACAAGCAGCAGTGGTGGAGAACTCCAACAGCGATTCATGTCACTCTCCCATTGTCACACGAATTTGGTTTTGTCCACGAGGTCAGGACATGCCCCGCAAGCGTATCGATATATTGRCCGATCGATTGTTGTCGTTGATCAACAGCAGAGTCGTCTCTTCAAGTTCCAGCCGTCMTATTCATGTCCAAGTTGTCGACCGGTGTTTTGATGCCACGCATTGGATTGTAAGTGAACGAGTGCCGGATCTCGCGTCTGTTGCCAAAGCGCTCCCTAGTACTGCGAACAGCACCGAGGAAGCACTCACAAAGTTTCTAGACGAGAACAATGTRGAGTGTTTCAAGCCGAGTTGGTTTGATTTGTTGTTTTCATCTCTTTCGTCGCCAAACCCATCACCGCTTGAATTCCTGCTCCGGCCTTCGGCAATGGATAGATGGTATGGATATATACCAGCGGTAAGTGATCGTACGAAATTGATGTCACAACGWWRACGATCATTCGCTTGCAATYGTTCACCATCATTTCYCCACACTCGATACATCCCTGCTCCTTCTAATCAGCCCATCTACACTAATGCTATCGCTTTGCTTATGTGTTRAAGAGCAAAAAGCGGCAAGAAAGCGACCAGAAGGATCGATCACCGAAACGGCAGCGCGTGTGCAAGGACCCTTCTTCATGCAATTTGATTCTATCGGATTTTTTCATKAAGCTATCGAAGATTTATGAACAGACTYCTTACTTACCCCACGATGAAATGAAAGCTCGACAGTATCATTTGATTGCTGGTAGATTGCAGAAGTTAGATTTCGAGATCCTTTCCGGCATAACAGATCGAGAGCTTAGAAAGATACCATTTGTTGGTGTTTCGACAGCACATATGATACAAGAAGTTCTTCAAACCAATCGGCTTCAAAGACTCGAATGCCTTCGTAAAGATCCGATTCGGATGGCAATGAGAGATATCATGGCCATCTGGGGCGTCGGACGAGCCACAGCATTGAAGCTTATTCAGCAGGKATTTCTAAACATCCACCAAATTCGCAAAGGGATCTTAACGGGACATATTTCATGCTTTGATCGAAGACAATTGATTGGGGTGAAATGTTACGAAGACCTGCTGGAAGATATGACACGTAGTGAGGTGGAAAGCATCTTTGAGCAAATACTATTGGAAGCCCGACAAATCCTCCCGGATTGTGAAGCACACATCATGGGTTCCTAYCGACGAGGCAAAAATAAACTAGGTGATTTGGATGTTTTGATCGTTTCGAAGACGTACAAGGACAAAGTCAGAGGAAACTTCTTGGCGGAACTGGTGAACGGATTATCCAGAAAGGGCCACATAGTTTATCATCTAAACCATCTGTCTGGGCTTGAAAGCGGATTCGCAGCAAAATCGCAGGAAGAACATTTCCATAATAAGCCTCAACATTATGTTCCTCCATTATCAAAAACATTCTCAAGTGAAAACCCAAAATCCATGGAAAGAACGAGTGGTGCCTCGTACATGGGAGTTTTTCTATCTCCCACGGTGCCAGGAAAGCATCGGCGTGTAGATATTAAACTGTGGCCCTACTCCCAAAAGCCGTTCGCTTCACTATATTTTACGGGTGGAAAGTATTTCAACAGGTCCATGCGACAATGGGCTAAAGCAAAGTTTAATTGGAAACTGGATGACAAGGGTTTGTTTGATCGGATAACAGGGGAGCGGGTGGCCATAGATGGGTGCACCGAGAAGGATATTTTCAATAAATTGCAGCTTGTTTATAAGGCTCCACCAGACCGAAAATTTTTCGACGATATACATCCTTTAATGCACTTATAGGGTTTMTTGACTAAAAAATCCTCTTMTTGCTTACTGTTGTTCTATTTTTTCCCCCCTCGCCGAAGTCTTGAAAGAAAAGGTTTCTTCACTGTCATGTATTCGCTCATTTTTACTCTGGGTTTTTCTTTCCTCTTCTTTCGGAAAAAATCTTTCAGTAGTTGTGCGCATTCGTCTTTCATAATTCCCGGAACGACCTCTTCTATGACGTGGAAGGGATGKGTATGATCATCCAACATTCGCATGTACGATTCAATTGCACCTAACCGTATTTGCGGAGCACCATAAACCACTGTGTGAATCCGGAACGCCTGTGCTGACGATAAACACACAGGACATGGTTCCATGGTGCTGTAGAGTGTTCTATTAAACAAACGCCAATTCTGTATGCTTTTAGACGCACGACGAAGAGCAACCAATTCGGCGTGAGCAGTTGCGTCCTGGGTTGCTTCTACCATGTTATAACCACGAGAAAGCACGCGATAACCTCCTTCTTCCTCACYACGTTCGACTATGACAGCCCCTATGGGGACCTCGCCTTTTCTCGCAGCTTCCTTCGCCTCGGCAACTGCCAAGCCCATAAAATAATTGTGCACGAAGGTTGAATTTTTTTCGAGCTGGGAAGGAAATTGTATGCTACTTGTCCTCATGTGATTTATTCTTCTACGCATAGACGTGTAAGAAGGCCTAGTCCATGGTGAGACAAATGGAGCCAGAGACGATAATATCATAACCGCGAAGGTCATGAATAAAAATTGTCKTTGTATTGTGTTGCTCAATTCCATAATGCAATGTTACTTTTCGGTCGTTCGAAGCMAAAAAATACCGTTTTTTTGCTAAAGGAAAGACAAAATATGGAACTAAATTTTTTCTCCATCGTCATGARAGACGATTGGAAATGGATTCTTCGTTGACCGATGTCAGACGATAATGATGTTTACAGGAAGGTATCAACGCAATTTTCGAATTTGAAATCGAATGATTTCAGATTTTTCGTTGATGGACGAAGATCCCTCTTACTGATTTTTTCTGGACTGGCGTAAACAGAGTGTGTGATAAAATTTCTCCCGTATTTTTAATACGAACGTACGACGTACGTACSTTAGTGATCGAAATACCCAAGGACGTCGATGAGAGTCTATTGCGCACCAAAACGCCGGGCGGCATTTCGTGCGTTGAGGGTTTCATGTCGTGTCACACGAAACMAAAAATAACGTTTTGATTCTTCTCCCTCGAAATCGGAAAATTGTTTCTTTTCAAACCCCCCCCCACAGGGCATGAATATTGGAAAAGGTTTTCCTGTGTCTATTAGTGGCATCGTGCAGTCACTTCCACGCATTAGATGGAAGACAAAACATCAAACTTTGAAAGTGTATCGAGATCATCGTTGCGATAATACGTCATGTATTGTGCAAATTTTCGAAGGTCTTCACTTGGGATCGACARCAATCGAAATARGAGTAACCCATCCGATTGTTTCAACAAGTTCGACCGACGCTTAAATCCGAAAATGCATGGTGATAATGATCTCAATCWTTCACAGCAACTTGATGGCTACGAAACATTTGAATCACACTTGTCTGATAGGAATATGTGCCAAAAAATTCGGAAGCATCTGGACCAGGAAGAACACCAGCAGCATTTGGACGAGGAGCAGATTATGGAACTCACGCCCAATATTCGGGCATCGGATCGACCCATAAATTCAAAGCGAAAAAGYAATGATTCAATCACAAGACAAATGATTTCCAGATTTGAGAAACAGCAAGAAAACGACGAACTCCACAATCYATGTACSCCAAATAGATCCATGTATTTCATCGCAAGAAATACTGAGAAGAACGCCACTAACTTTGAGAAAAACTTGAGACAAACACAACGCAAAATGGCGTCACAACGACAACATTCACGATTAGAAGAAAARCAAAAAGATGGCGCTCATAATCTACTGATATCGAGGGTAGGAAAGTCGGGTCTTTTAGGAAACCAATTCCCATCTTTTGACGAGACACAACACCAATTAACACATTCACCAACTTCAGTCATCAATAACAATACGAATAGCGATTTTGCAATTTCAAAAGAGATATCGCTCAAGTCAAAATCTTTTTCAGAGCAGCGACTCATGAATGAGTTGAARAAGACCTCCCGACTGCTAGACATGGAGAGAAATAAGAATCTTACTTTAACAAACAAAYTTGAGGATACAGAATGTCAGCTGAGGGCTATACGGAAACCGCAATCTACAGACTTGGTTATTGAGGAATACGCTAGGCAAATACGAAAGCTACAGGACAGAATAACGCACTACCAGGAAGCGCTTACATTAGAGAAAAAGATGCGAGCCGAARCTGAAGCAGAACTAGAAGAAACCCGACGTCAAAATCGAAGATGTGCAGAACAAATGGACATGTTGATCTTTCAGCACATTCCMAGCGTGGCTCCAGTATTCAAAGRTATCGGTCCCGTCAAGTATACAATCGAGGACTCCTTTGATTTTGTTGGATCATACCGACTTGGAGAAGTGCTGGGTGAGGGATACTACGGATCAGTCCGAGTTGGCTCTCATTTGAGTTCCATGCAGAAATTTGCCATTAAGATTCTGAAGAAAACAAGTATCAATCGATTCAAAGATCTGAAACAAATTGCACTGGAGGCCCACGTCCTAAAGACATATCAACATCAGAATATAGTTCGCTTGAAGGAAGTTCTCCACACAGCGCACAACATCTATATGGTCACCGAATTSTGCTTTATGGATTTGCACAAATACCACAATGACGTTGGGTTGAGCATCGAAAGTGCTAGACAAGTGGTSTTCGGTATACTTGATCCTATACATCATTTACATCGTCACGGAATTTGTCATCTTGATTTGAAACCAGAAAACATTCTTCTCACAAAACCCCTTGGTTCGCATAATGCTAAGTACGAACACGTACGAATATGCGACTTCGGTCTTGCGAATATGGCAAGAAAGCCCGATAAGAACAAAGATATTATTCGTGAAGGCTACGCATGCGGAACTCCCGGGTTCTATGCRCCAGAAATGGTTATCCAAGACAAATTCGAAGGKAGATGTGCAGATATGGTAAGTTAATGAAGGTATATGCACTCTGATCAACTCTCATKTTGTCTACTATTCGATTACTGACGCCATTTGAWCTCCGTTTTATTAATATCTCATATCGACAAAAAGTGGTCGTTGGGTTGTATCATACTAGAAATCACGTTAGGTTTTACCCAGGAGTGGATTGATAGCTATAATAAAGCGGATGATAATCCCGAGACGTTTCAGAAGGGTTTGAAATTTTGTCTCAGTGAAATCTCTATCCAACAATATCCGGGCCACGCTAACCTTTTGGATCTAATCCACGCTTGCCTTTCTATTGATCCACTCAAGAGAATTACTTCACAGGATGCTCTTCTTCATCCTTGGCTCGCAAGTATAGAAAAGAAGCTTGCTGTTGGAAGAAATGTCGATCAACTGCAAGAAGAAAGAAAAAAAGAATTGGCTCATGCATACTCCGACCGGATTGCACTTTTAGAGGGTCAAGCTGGATTTTGTGCGTAATTGCAGTTGCCAGTCAAATGCCGTAAAACTCAATGCTGATGAGTAGCAATGACACATCTGGTTCTCACCGCATGTTCATCCAATGGCAATAAGGTAGTCTGCACTCATATAGTCGTTTTCGTGAAATCTTCATTTGTGATTCTGTTCAGACTCCCGCTAAAATTGGCAAGGATTATYAGAGGGTTTTTAATTTTTGGTCCATTCTGAAAGATGGCGGCTTGCTTCGTCGTGTGACATCACCATGCATGATGAACTAGAGGTGCAGCAACTGCACTATTAGTAGTGGTAGTATTTCCTCCGTTTGGATGTCTCRATACAAGAAKAAGAAGAAYAAGATGCTACTACTCGCTGTTATTAGGTGATATAGATGCAACAATTTTCATAGAAAATGATGTGTCAAGCAACGGCCGACACGAGAAAMCTTGTAGATCTGATCGTTTTCTAATAGCGTTTTCTTACCACTACAGATACTAACAAAAGTACCGGTGGCAGTACGATTACGTACCGTACTGTACTGACTTTCCATATATTTTCAACGGTGGCACGTACGTACAGAATTATTCCATTGTTTATTTCGAAAGCTAAATTTAAATTCAGTTGTTCTTCATTTTAGCATTTTCCCCCTAAAATGAAACAAATGAATGTGAAGAATCATATTACTCCCCCGAATCTCTTGGTTGRAGATAGAGCTCCGATCTTTTAATCACGAACACTTAGCAGTCACGGTCAAAAAGATGCTTTTTCCTTTTTCTCTCGTCCTTCTTTACTCTACACCTACGAACTGACGCTAGTCGGATAAAATTAAAAAATACCGTTCACCATGAAGCTTCTAACCACCGCCCTCCTAGCTAGCAGTGCCGCTGCCTTCGCTCCGTCTGCGTCGAACTCTCGTGCTTCKGTTGCCRTCCAGGAAAGCAAGGCCGACCTCGAAGTTCTTGCCAAAGAACTCAACCCTCTCGTCGGTTTCTTCGACCCTCTCGCACTTTCCTCAGACAACTTCTGGGAGCAATCCAACGAAGCCACCATTGGCTTCCTCCGAGAAGCCGAAATCAAGCATGGACGTATTGCCATGTTTGCTTTCGTCGGCTACATTGTCCATGCCAATGGCATCAAATTCCCTTGGGCCATGCAAATGGACGGAACTCCGTTCCCTACTGTTTCCAGCGCTCCCGAAGCCTGGGATCAAATCTCGGATTCTGCTAAGTGGCAGATTTTCGCCTTTGTTGGATTCCTAGAATTCGTAAGTAATCCCAAGATTTGTAGAAACGAACACGCGCTGACTCTTGTCCTCGGACCTTTTTATCCACTGAKGTGTATTTGTTTCGTGCGAAGTAAACGTCGAGAAAAGTGCTGGGCTGCTGTACATGATRTACATCAATGGGATTTTTGTGAGTCTTGTTCTGATGGCTTTTTTCTTTCTCTGCATTCTTATCACCGCTTGCTTATCACAACAAACCACGCTACGACGAACGCAGTGGAACGAGGTCACCGGAACTCACTACATGCGTGGAGGAAAGCCTGGTGACTTCCCAGACTTCGATGCTGCTGTCATCCCCGGAGGCGCCCTCAACCTTTACGATCCCCTTGGATGGTCCAAGAACCGATCGGAAGAAGCCAAGGCTGATGGCCTCAAGAAAGAGATCAACAATGGTCGCCTTGCTATGATTGGAATTCTCGGATTTTTGGCTGAGGGTAAGGTCGAAGGATCTGTTCCTCTTTTGAAGGGAATCATMCCTGCTTACGCCGGTGAACCAATGGCTCCTTTCACAGACTCTATTCTTCCCAAGCTCACTGTATTCACCGGTTAAGCAAAACTATGTCGTAGTTGAATAAAAGAGAGGTTGTATCTTAAGTTGCCGTGGACCCTGCACGACAAAATCCACGGAAGGAAAGAGAAAAGAAGCAAAGAGTGCCCGCCCACGTTCTCTCGAACCGTCAAATCGCTATTATACATTAGTGTTTAAATTCTATAATTGACTGGTCCCTTTTGGATTATTGATTGCTTTCGCTGAATCAAATAACTCCGTATTGTGACGCATMAAAGTTACGAAGTATGTATCTTTGCCCAAGGAAAATATCACTTTACATGGTGACTTGGAGTGGGATTTTAATCAACCCATTTGTGCTCCTTGTCTTGTTTGAATTCAGATGCGTTCAACGTCAGGTCGGGCTTCTGATCTCTATCGAGAGGTTCCAGCGCGTCCCAATGATGTCTCTCATTTGGCTCACGATACACCAATCCCAGATGGTCGAAAACCTCGCGCTCGGTGGAAGCTTCAARGACTCTGGTTGTTCCATCATCTCGATCGAACAATCCGTGATCTGTTAGCTTGTAGTTGAAAACGCGAGTCGCCCATAGGCGCATGCTCCTATTGAAGTAACCTGTTGATGAATTCGAAACGAATTCAAAGGAAGTGTAACAACGAGGGGTAAGTTAAAGATCATGTTTGGATTTTTTTTCGAGCATTTGCAGTAAGTGGGCAAAAACTGCTTTTTTCTTACCATTCCCAGTAAAATATAGCATGGCGAAAGCACGCTCTCGATATGGATAAAACTTGATATCGACCCGTCTTCTAACACGAGGATTGCTCGGACTATAGAGACAACCCATGTAAAAATCGTATTCGGTGTGCTTCGATTGTTTGACTGCTTCTTCCCACACCGCCTTTGGTACATATCTTGACGCCTTTTCGTAATCGGTATAATGGTAACCGGTAGTCATACCTACTAGATTCGTCAGGTGCATTGCGACCTTCCCTTCGTTCCAAAGCGCGTCTGATCGGTAATTTCAAAGAGATGAGCAAGCGCAGAAAATCAAAAATCAAAAAAAGAAGCTACAAATCTGTTGGAGAATCCAAAACATCTCGAGTTCCTTACCGATTATCTGCCCCAATCCGGAAGTAGGAATGGTATCCACGTGGTCGGGATGGCAGAGCAGAATGTCCACGTCCCCRCAGTCGTCTTTTCCGCGCCGATACGACCCCATAATGGAAGCCTCCATTCCGGGGAACAGCTTTTCCGCGACGCGCCGAACCACCTCGCAGAGTTTTTCCACTTCCGACCGGGGCATTCGATCGAGTATGTCTTCGTAGCAATCCACACCAACCAGCTGATTTCGCTGCAAGGAAATTTGGTTTCGACAAACGGCATCCCTCACCTCGTCGATGKTTTTGTAGCCCAGAGCAATCAATTCTCGTGCCTTTACGGGGCCCACGCCCCAAATGTCCGTGATTTTCTTCATTGCCTGTCGTTGCTCGTCTGACTCGAATTCTTCGATCCTGGTGATTGTGCCATGGTTGATGCATTCTTGAATTTTTTCGCAGACGCTGTTCCCRAATCCCTTGATGGATTTYAGTCGTCGTTGTATTTCATCATCGCTGCTAACTTCAAAGTCTAGCTCTAGCAGCCGACCGGCCACGATTCGAAAACAATAAGACTTCCACTGATCRCCAGGAAGGAGTGGCATGGACTGGTGGAGCCTTCCGAGAACCTCAAAGGCATTAGACACYTGSACGTTCCGAGGGAAGGGGATTCGTCTCCTCGTGTGTTCGATCTTATTGTCGCTGCCGCCAGTTTTCTTTTCGATTGGAGGTTCGTCTGTTGTTGCACCKGCGTCGCGTTTTCTCTTGAAACTCTCCTTGTTCGTGGTGGAAGTACGAGTACCATGCACAACACYCATTGGTGTTGSGCCGTGACACCACAAGTGAATTCGGCTTGGAATCTGGAGACATTTGGCAGTCGCAATRCAGTGGTCGGCCCACGATGGCATTGCGCAGCGAATATGGGGATTCTTCTCCAGGTGTTGTCGCAGTTCTTCTTCTGAAACACGCAACCTTTTGGCTACCAGCTCTAGGGACCGTACCGTATCGCTGATTACGATGTGGTTTGCCCTCCATAAATCATCTGTCACCGTAGCTCCCAACAATTCAAAGTTGCGCTCCAGCTTTTGGCGTCGCGACGCCGAAAAGCCTGGTRATCGGAATCAAATTTTGCAAACATGTCACCAAAAAAAGGGAACCGCAATTGTACGTATTAGAGAGCGGGAGCATGCACAGTGCATGGTTGTGTCATACAACAAACGGTGCATCGTGCTTAGTCCGACGTACCGCTTCCAAACGGAAAGAAATGGACAACAAACAACTTTTCGGGGCTGCRGGTACGGGGAGAATTTCCAACYGTTGTTTTTCGGTTCCCGCTATCACTGAACTGATACGAATCCACCGTATCTCTTGGTGGATTCGGAACGTGCTCGCACCTCTGGCGTTTCTGGCCTCGTTCCGAATGGTCGTTTCCCWTCYCGTCTCTATTCGTTCCGCTAGCTTTTGGCACCGTGGCCTCCCCCGYTTCGTTGCTGGCAGGGTGCTTCTCGTTCSCCGACGCCGATCCATGCTCGTTGCCCGTCTCTTCGCTGAGYGCCACAACCCTGAACTCCAGGAGGCCCTGCCCCCCTCGGGGTTCGAGCGAAAGGACGTCCCCCGCCTCGATGGCGACCGCGGGAGTCCCCCACTCTTTGATGCCGTTGCCGTTGCTGTTGCCGTTGCCATTGCCGTTGCTGTTGCTGTTGCCACTGCCGTTGCCACTGCCCGCGGCGTCCCCCGGCCGGGTCGCCGGCAGGACCTCGGTCCCGTTGAGCCGCACGATCGCGTGCTCCCCCCGGGCCTGGACCCCCGACCCGGAAAACCGCAGGAGGCGGCGGCTGAGGGACCGGATCCCCCACCGGTGGGCCTCCCGGTAGCGCCGGTGCAGCCCTTTTCCGCTGCCGTCCCAAAAGCACGCGGYGCGAAGGGACCCCAGAAGGGCCACCCGGCCGATCACGAGGGACGGCCCGGACCCATCGCCGAGCCGTATCAAAAAGGGTGGGAKCTTCTCGCCCGGTGCATCGAAAGCACGGCAAMAACGACTACCGCCGTTGCTCTTTGGYGCAACATTTGGCACTTGCAAAGCAACAAGCGGAATGAGTCCCAATGCTTGCCCCGCCGATGTCATTGTTGGTCTCGAGAAGCATCGGGGCGTCCCTTGCGACGGGTGGAGATCGCTGGGTGTCTGTTTTGGTTGCACCCGGGGGACTTTGTGGGGACGGAACGAAGGATGCGTACGGTACTCGGTTCTCAACTACGTAGTGTAACACTCGCTGTGTGTGTGCGTTTTGTGTGGTCGTTTCGAACAAAATTCGAGTTTTCTGCCGGTACGTGTGTGTGCACGAGTTATCGTACGGTATGGTACCGTGCTTGCTCAACGGAGATGCGGTCCAGTACGATACAACAGCACAGTAGTACTGTACTGTACTACTAGTGCCTGTACAAATGTTGTATTCGTGCAGCTACTACTACTACTGACCTAGAAGTACTTCGTAAACAGTTCACAGTCAGCCGTCTTCGGACTTTCTTTTCCATGGAAGGAAATCAGGCGGTCGCCCAAAAGAAACGATCCAGCCCACACCGACTCCTCAGGGCTTSTGGCCCGGCCTATTGCAATCTGAGGATTATAGTATTGAATTCCAGTACTACGTACTAGTACTACTAGTATTRCAAATTTTACTGGTCTACGAAAGAACGAGCATTATGTTGTTCTTTGCCCTACCGTAGCCATAATGAAGACTCACCCCTCGAGGATGAGTTGTGGTTTTCTGGTACAGACATCACACATCACGCGGTTTTGATTCGCTTTGTCCCTGTCCCTGCCCCAATTTCAGAAGGAGTGTGCTGGCTTTTATGTCCGTTGGGGAATGCGATCACCTTGCAAGCTGCAYGAACAGCAAAGGCAAACCGTGGATGGTCCGTTGGTTTTTCGAGCAAGAAGTCCAACCGAGGTGTTTCCCTCGCCCGTTCGCTCTACATCCGCACGGACGACACCACATCTCTTCCACCGAAACGAGAGACCCTTGTTGCTCCGCGATGGCATCGATCGCTGTTCCAGAATCGATGGACCCGTGRACGGGCACCGTTCGAGCCACAAACGGACGGAAAGAAAGCAACATTCTTGCAGAGGGGTTGCGAGCCCCGGGGCGCCCGGCGGATCCGCCGCGGCCCTACAGCGCCACCGGCTTGGCGCACTTTCGGGGCTCCCGCACGCCGGTCTCGGGGCACTCCATTTCCTTCCACGAGACGGGGATCATGGGAACCCCGTGGCGCTCCGCCCGGACCACCCCCAGCTCGGTCTCGGCCGTGGACAGAAAGTACCGCCTCTGGTCCCCCATGCTCACGATCCGGCAGGCCACCAGGTCCCCCGGCCGGAAGCAGTCCCCCAGGACGGGGGCGGCKCCGGAAGACCCCTCCCGGGACGAAACAAAGGACCGGGCGTCCTCCAGGCGGATCGCTCCCTCGCGGTAGGGCGGCCGGAGGGCCCCCRCGCCCTCGGCCACGCGGATCTCCACCAGGGCGTTCTGCGGGGTGATCCGGGACACCCTTCCGACGATGCGCTGGCCCACCGACAGGACCTGGCTCGCGGCCGGTGGTTTCGGGGAAACGACGGAACASACGAATCCGGGGAGGGACCGGGCGTTCTTGTTGCTTTCGTCGTCGTTGCTTTTTTCGTCGTCGTCGTCGTTGTTGCTTTCGTCGTCCTTTTCCGGGGCCCGCTTCTCTTCCAGCGCCAGGCTCCCGACCAGGCAGGCGTAGATGTGCCCGCCCCGGACATAGGTTCCGTCCCCCGGCGTGGCCTGTCGGACCGTCCCGATCCTGTCCCCGGGCACGACGGTGCTTCCTTCCTTGTAGCGCAATGYCGGCTTCTGTTGCTGCATCGTTCGRTAGGAATGTCTCGAGTGCGTAGCSTACTCCCGCGCACTATCGGTCGCGAATGGTGAAGCTGCCTTTTTTCGCGGCGTCGGGGGCAGCCGTGGAGTTGGATTGTATTGTCTCGAAGCCAATAATATCCTTGGAGAATGGCACTGTACGGTACGGGCCCGAGCGA